ACTACTAGTATTGACATTCTTGTTTCATCAACTTTTCAACAACTTATCTCGTTTTAGAAATTGTTCAAACGTAGAGCATGCTCTTGTGTATCAAATCAACTTAGAGATATATAAACTCCATATGCAGGTGATAAAGAGAATAATACAATTATTGCATATGCAAAAATCCTGTTTTTATTACTAAGTATGTGATAAAAGAGTATATTGTTTTTTAAACAAGGGAAGTTGACGATAGAAAAGCTAAAGCCATTCTGTTTAAAACTTTGTAGGTAGACTTTTTCTAGTAAAATATCCAAATACAAGTTAGATTTCTGAATTTAATTTTAAAAGCAAATCCTTCAAAAATACTGTTGTAATAACGAGTCTTACAAAGACGACATGATTACGGTTTGTTTGCTGGAATCATACTGTATTGTTCATGTAAGTTTGCTAATTCGAACATAATTATCCTATCTAACAAAGTATCCAGGTTTTTCCTTTCATATTTTGCCCATCGTTAGACAATCCAATAGAATTCTTTATAGAAAAGAAGTTTCGTCGCCATTTGAAAGATCAGGGATTCCAGTATTTGAGTCTGCTTCGTACCTTTTCCTTCACCAGGAATGACATAGCCTTTAGGACTAAACATAGTTGAAAGAAAAACGACAACACACCTAAGAGTTTTTTTTTGTTTTTATATTCGATGTTCAATATTGGAGCAATGTAAGGTGTGTTTATAATTGTTAATAACTTAAAAGTTTGGAATCAACAGTTTGAGAATATCTGTAGAAAATGCAGGGCGTGGGCTTCAATCTGAAATATTGTGACTGAACTTTATAATTAAAAAAGTTACTGTTCACACCATCACTTTTTTGCTCGGAAAGAGTGATCAATTCCATAAAGCTACTCCTTTGTCCAGTGAGAGTCCTGTTAGTGATCGTGCTCAGAGTACAACCCATTTTTAAACAAAGCAGTCTACTATTAAGCTAGTTGATGTTACAGGGATATCAATTTAAAGGTGAAGATAACGAACAGTGATGGAGTAAAAAAAAACTATTAACAATAGAAATACTAGTATGTTATGGGGCATAAAACACCCAGCCTTGAAAATTCCTGAGGAGGAAAAAGGTGTGAAAGAGGAGTAAGCATGCCCCGTTGATCACTCACGCCTTATGGATTGATCAATGATACATTGTGTAGTCAAATATAGTATAATATAGTATACGAACACCGGTATACATTAAGTACTGAAGCAAGGCAGCCAAAATACTGTGTCCAATGATAGATAATATATTTTCTAAAAAGGTCATTTTAACAAATTTTTTTTTACAATAGCTCCAAAACTATGTGAGGTATAAAGTTAAAATTTAGCAGTTTATAGATATATCATTGATTAACTGATAGAAAGTATCACTTGATAACAAATACTTAGAAAAAAATATTTCTTGAGAAAAAAATGTATATATTTAAAAACCAGAAGTCTCTGTCGAGATTGAAGCTCTACTGCTTTTTACTTATAGCAAAGGAAGAGAAAAGTAGCAGTTGGGAATTGAAACTTTACAACAGCAATAAATAGAATAATGATCCTATTTTAAGTCTCTTTATGTTCTAAGTGTAGTTTGCTTGCATGCTACATTATATTATAATCAGACTAAAACTGTATTTGGGGTAGCATTCTGATAGTATTTTACAGAAATTTCTATCTTTAATAACCATGGCAATAATGTTCACCGAAATCAAAAGATGATAAAATAGAATTGTGTATCTTATTGTAGTCTACTTGTGTGCAAAATTATATTGAAATCAGAACAAAACTGAAGGAGGAGTAGTATTTTCAAAGCAGTTCACAGAAATTTCTATTTTTAGTAACCACGGCAACACCGTTCATCGAAATAAAAAAAACAATACACAGAATTATGTATCTAAGTGTAGTCTACTTGTGTGCCAAGTTTATTGAAATCAGACCAAAATTGTAGGGGGAGTAGCATTCCGAAAGCATTTCATAGAAATGTCTTTTTTTAGTAACCACGGCAATACCGTTCATCGAAATCAAAAACCGATACACAGAATTATGTATCTTAGTGTAGTCTACTTGTGTGCCAGGTTATTGAAATCAGACCAAAACTGTAGGAGGAGTAGCATTTTGAAAAATTGTCTACAGACAGACGGACGGACGCCGGACACATTACTATCGCATAAACTCTTCTGGTCTCTGAACAGTAGAGCTAAAAATACACCTAATTAATTCGGTGCATTTAGTTAAAGCTATCATTGCAGAAACAATATATTTTTATCAATGAAGGGATAGGTGGACTTCGATAGCCTCTGGTAAGTTCTTTTCCGTGTTTTTTTTTTTTTTGTCCATATGTTGAGATTTGAAACTGAAAGTACATTGCAAATGGCGGATTTTTTAGGGGTCTTGTCTTTATACACGTCATGCTTTCAATAATAGCCTTTGAGAGACCAACTTGCCCTTTATTGATAAACATTATTTTATTTCTGCAATGATGGTTTTCACAAAAGGACAGAATTTTAAGCAGGTGCATTTTTCTTTAAATATGCACATTTTTGATACAACTTTTCTCATAAAATATCTTTTTAAAAAAAATATTTGTTTTCAGGTTATTCTTTCTATCAGTTACATATATATATCTATAAACTGTAGAAGTTATAACTTTATACCTCACATGGTTTTGGAGCTATTGTAAAAATAAATTCTAGGACATGTTGACGTTTGACGAAACCTTAACTTGGCTATATTGCTGATAATAAAACTCATCTTTACCTTGCAAATTACTATAGGACTAAGGTTTAGGGCGATTTACAATAATTGTAATTTCAAGTATTTCTAAGTACTTTTAATGACAAATGTCAGCATTCCATATTTGATCAATCATTCATTGTGATTTCCGTGAATACTCACTCCAATAAAAGAAACCAGAAGTATCTGTCGAGACTGTAGCTCTACTGGTTTATACAATGTACTTATAACAAAGGAAGAGAAAAGTAGCATGTTGAGACTTGAAACTTTAAAGCAGCAATAAATAGACAAGAGACCCATGGGCCACATCGCTCACCTGAGTAACTTAGGTGATGCAGTTTTTTTTACCAGATTTCCCCTCTTGCTATACCTATAGTACCCCACTACCCTCTTCCCTTTTATGATTTTAATACTTTAGAATCTACACTACCCCAGGATGCTACGACATAAGTTTCAGCTTTCCTGGCCCAGTGGTTCTTCAGATGAAGATTCTAAAAAGATTTTTCCAAAATACAGTGTATATCTATGTAAAACTTGGATTCCCTATTGTGGCCCCGCCCTACCCCCGGGGGTCATGATTTTAACAATTTAATATCTACACTACCCAAGGATACTTCCACGTAAGTTTCAGCTTTCCTGGCTCAGTGGTTCTAGAGAAGAAGATTTTTAAAGATTTGTTCCATATATTTCTATGTAAAACTTGGATTCCCTATTGTGGCCCCGTCCTACCCCCGGGGGTCATGATTTTAACAATTTAATATCTACACTACCCAGGGATGATGCTTCCATATAAGTTTCAGCTTTCCTGGCCCAGTGGTTCTTGAGAAGAAGATTTTTTAATGACCCCACCCTATTTTTGTGACCACATTGCAATTAGACTACAACCGTAAGAGTAGCTTTTAATAAAATTTTTAAGGATTTTCAATTTTAGTTACCATGGCAACATCATTTATCAAAATAAATTTTAAAAAAACAAACAATAAAGACAATAATTTATCTTAATATAATATATCTGCATGCCTCATTATAATCAAACTAAAACTACTTGTAAAAGCAATTTTAAATTACTTCACAGAAATGTCTATTTTCAGTTACCACAGCAAAAACGTTAATTGGAATAAAAAATTGATATAAAGAGTTATGTATCTTAGTGTAGTCAACTTGTGTGCCAAGTTATATTGAAATCAGGCCAAAACTGTAGAAGTAGCATTTTGAGCATTTCACAGAAATTTCTATTAATAGTAACCACGGCAACACCTTTCGTCAAAATCAAAAAGCGATGCACAAAATTATGTATCTAAGTATAGTCTACTTGTGTGCCAAGTTATATTGAAATCAGACCAATAACTGTAGGAGGAGTAGCATTTTGAAAGCATTTCACAGAAATCTATTTTAAGTAACCACGGCAACACCTTTCGTGAAAATCAGAAAGCGATGCACAGAATTATGTATGTATCTAAGTATAATCTACTTGTGTGCTAAGTTATATTGAAATCAGACCAATAACTGTAGGAGGAGTAGCATTTTGAAAGCATTTCACAGAAATCTATTTTAAGTAACCACGGCAACACTGTTCATCGAAATCAAAAACCATTGCACAGAGTTATGTATCTTGGTATAGTCTACTTGTTTGCCAAATCATATTGAAATCAGACCAAAACTGTAGGAGGGGTAGCATTTCGAAAGCATTTCACAGAAATGTCTATTTTTAGTAACCACGGCAACACCGTTCGTTCATCGAAATCAATAACTGATGCATAGAATTTTGTATCTTAGTGTAGTTTACTTGTGTACCAAGTTATATTGAAATCAGACCAAAACTGTAGGAGTAGCATTTTGAAAGCATATCACAGAAATTTCTATTTTTAGTTACCATGGCAACACCGTTCATCTAAATAAAAAAAAACAATGCACAGAATTTTGTATCTTAGTGTTGTTACTTGTGAGCCAAGGTATACTGAAATCCGACCAAAACTGTAGGAGGAGTAGCATTTCGAAAGCATTTCACAGAAATTTCTATTTTTAGTAACCACGACAACACCGTTCATCGAAATCAGAAAGCGATGCACAGAATTATGTATCATAGTATAGTCTACCTGTGTGCCAAGTTATATTGAAATCAAACCAAAACTGTAGGAAGAGTAGCATTTTGAAAAATTGTTTACAGACAGACAGACAGCTAGACGGACGACGGACGCATTACTATTGCATAAGCTCTTCTGGTCTCTGACCAGTAGAGCTAAAAAAAAAAAACGAGAAGCATAGATTATAATTTTTTATTGCTAAATATTGGCCGCTTGTGCCCCAACAGAAGGCGTTATTAAAGGCACAGATTCTGATGATGTAATGTGTGTTTTCATGGCAGCTGCGGCAAACACTGTATCGAGCATGCCCATGACTTCACTGAGTTCCGTCATATAATTCACTTCCTGTTCAACAGTATCTCTAAGTTCTGTCAACTGACAGTCCATCACGGGGCTTTGTCCCACTTGGTCTGCGTATAAATCTGAAAAAAAAAATTATTTATACTTGCTTTATCCTTTGGTGGCAAGTTACCCTGGATAAAACCCCAAACTTGAAATAAAAGAGACAGGATGAAAATAAGCCATATTATTCCCTTTTCCCACAATGTAGAATTTTGAAATTATACACTGATACATCCTAACTTTAGAAATCGTAAAATAAATTCACTTATAAACCTAGTTACTTACCTAATAATAAGTTTGCAACATCTAACAGTATTGGTTGAAAAGATGGCTTACTTATATTTCTGCAAATAAAACAAAATGTATTAATCAAAAGAGTACACCAATAATAAAAGATTGTCTTAAAGGCAAAAAGAATATCTTATAGAGATTGTAATCACATTCAGTGAACACCAATCATTTATTACATTTTTAACAGTGAAATACTGTAATTTATCCATTGAATAAAAGTGATATCCTGTCACGGTGTGAAAGGATATCAAAATGATATATCAAAATGATATCCTGTCACAGTGTGAAAGAATATCAGAAGTGCGGGAAAACTCTCGATTTTCCTTCCCTTCACCAAGAGTGTTGTCAAAAAAATACTCCTTTACCTGTTATAAGATAGAAAACGAGCTCATAAACCATTCTGTCATAAAATTAAAATGCGAAAGTTCCCCAAATATGTTGCTGAAATTCATGTTTACAATGTTTTTCACTTAGCTACGATGTCTCAACCGCTCAACTATGACGTCATGTAGCCTAAAACTGCATAACAAAAAAGACGTAGGCAAAGGGAAAATCAAAGAAAATGTATAGAGGATATTCAATGTTTTGTAGTTGAATATGGAATTTAATTCACGAGTGGGACAGGATTTTTGATATTTTCACGAGTGCGAAGCACGAGTGAAAATATCAAAAATCCTGTCTCACGAGTGAAATAAATTCCATATTCAACTACAAAACATTGAATTTTCTGTTTATTACATTTCTAACATAAAATTCTTTGATTTTTCCTTTGCCTCTGATACACTCATAGGCTCGTGACGTCATAGTTGAGCGGTTGAGACGTCATAGCTATATGAGGTGAAAACACTGTAATCATGGATTTAGCAACATATTTTTGGTAATTTTAACCATTTTATTTGCTGTCAGAGTGGTTTATTTACTTGCATCTGTCTTATATTAGGTCAAGGAAGATTTTTTTTACAGCAATCTTCGTTATGGGAAGGGAAATCTCGAGTTTTCCCGCACTTCTGATATTCATCACACTGTGACAGGATATCATTTTGATATCCTTTCACAGTGTGACAGGATATCATTTTTATTCAATAAATAAATTACAGTATTTCACGGGTAAAAATGTAATAAAACAGAAAATTCAATGTTTTGTAGTTGAATATGGAATTTATTTCACTCGTGAGACAGGATTTTTCATATTTCATTTTTTTGAAGTTGCTATATATCTGGCATTAAAAAATTAAACTCTTTCGAATGGGTGATTTACCCTATAAATAACTAACTTCTTTCCAAACTTTGATAAAAATTATGATTTATTTTACAGACAGGTAGCTAATTTCTTTATTAACTGGATGATATCTTCTAAAGACATATAACTCAAACTTTCATAACCTGGATGACATACCTTCAAAAAAGGTAACCTGTGTATGAGCTGGAAGTTATACTCATCTACAGATAGCTAACCTCTTTATGAACTGGATGATATACCCTACAGATGACATACCTTTTTATGAACTGGATGATATACCCTACATAAACTGGATAAAATACTATACAGATGGCATGCCTCTTTATGAAATGAATTATATACCCCAATCTACAGACAACTTACCTCTTTATGAACTGGATGATATACTATACAGATGACTTACCTCTTTATGAACTGGATGATATACCTTACAGATGACTTAACTCTTTATGAACAGGATGATATACCTTATAGATGACTTATCTTTTTATGAACTGGATGATATACCTTACAGATGGCTTACCTCTTTATAAACTGGATGATAAAACCTACATTTAACTTACCTTTTTATGAACTGGATGATATAACCTACAGAGAGATCACTACGACATGCTAGTGCTGCCTTAATGGCACCTTTCTTCATTAATTCCTGTAAAACTCGAACTGTAATTTCTGGCGACCTTAAACATACGCCATTCTAATGAGAGAAATAAAAACATTTACTGATTATATGAATGTAAAATTTCAAATATTCATGTTAAGTGCAAATGCACTTGTTCATAATTGCCATTAAAAAGTGAATGTTACTAAAATCAATCATTTTCTTGTACTTGAAGAACAGTTCAATTCCTTATTTCAACAACAGACAGATTAACTCGCCTTCATTGCAGCATCTAAAGCTTTTGTAAATTCAAATTTCTTGAAATATTTGTCGTATCTTGCAAGCTGTTCCTTCCGCTTGTGTAGAACAACAAAGTCGCCCTGGAAAACAAAAATCGGTGCTGCATTAATGAGCGGTGTACATGTACCTATGAAAAGCATTCTACAATACAAAGGCTGTAAATCATTAAT